TCATGGTAAGTGCCGGCCGATTGACACATATATCAAGTGCTATTGCTTCTACATATTGAAATGCATGTGATTTTATCTGAATGAGCAGTACATATGTGTTTGTATATATTGGAGGGCATGCTGTACCTCAACTCTATCTGCCCTGGGATACCAAGAAAATTTTAGTCATCATGGCTGGTGCGTACTTAATCTGGTTATAATACTTGCGGGTAGCAGAATAAACCAAGGCATGGTCTAAGGTTGGCATGGAAATAATTATCAAATGCGTTGTCTCTTAATTCTTCACAGGTGCGTGAGACCCACGGAAGCTGGAAGTCCACAAATGTCGCGCGTACATTATTTGTCTACAACGGTTGGTATGGGCTGATAATGCGTTGTACTTTATAAGATCACATGCCGAGCTCTTGTCCATCACATGTGAAAGTGGTTTGCTGACACCAGCGGGCGGATCCCGCCTGAGAGTCGTCTACTAACACAGAGGGCATATCAATGCCTGAGAGTGGTCTGCTGACACGGTGGGCGGATCCCTGCCTGAGAGTCGTCTACTAACACAGAGGGCATATCAATGCCTGAGAGTGGTCTGCTGACACGGTGGGCGGATCCCTGCCTGAGAGTCGTCTACTAACACAGTGGGCATATCAATGCCTGAGAGTGGTTTGCTGACACGGTGGGCGGATCCCTGCCTGAGAGTCGTCTACTAACACAGAGGGCATATCAATGCCTGAGAGTGGTCTGCTGACACGGTGGGCGGATCCCTGCCTGAGAGTCGTCTACTAACACAGAGGGCATATCAATGCCTGAGAGTGGTCTGCTGACACGGTGGCGGATCCCTGCCTGAGAGTCATCTACTAACACAGTGGGCATATCAATGCCTGAGAGTGGTTTTGCTGACACGGTGGGCGGATCCCTGCCTGAGAGTCGTCTACTAACACAGTGGGCATATCAATGCCTGAGAGTGGTCTGCTGACACGGTGGGTGAATCCCTGCCTGAAAGTTGTCAGCTAACACGGTGGGCGGAACCCAGCTTGCAAATTGTCTGGTAATACGGTGGGTGGATCCCTGCATGCAAATTGTCTGGTAACTCGGTGGGCAGATCCCTGTCGCACACGGATTTATCCCGAACTTTGATCGGATGATGGCTTGTTCGCAACGCAGGCACGGAGCGAGTGAACGGCTGCGGAATGTAAAAATGGTTATAAGCGGTATTTTTTCACCCTGAAAGGTCTCCCTCATGCCGAGATCTCCGGCACGAGGCGATGTTCCGAAGGCTTTACGCTGAACGCCATCGGCGGAATGACCCATCAGGCCCCACCATGCCCCACCATGACCCATCATGCCCCATCAAGACTCGTTCCCCTGACGCCTCTTTGCGATAATGCCGTCCTACGGTGGTGCAGCCACGGACAACTAAATACCAGGCAAGCTGTTACTGGCTGCCTCCCTGAACAGTGCACATCGCGCCCAAAGTCTCGGATTTGGATAGGCCGTACACATGCCTGTCTAAATGTTCCGTCTACTGGCCGAGTTCACGTGTGTCCTTTTCGCTGAGTAGGCCTCCTGTTCACGTCAAACGGCTCTTCGCTGATTGCGCTGAGGCAGACTGCTGCAGGGTTTCCTTACCTCCCCTGTAATCTATCTCATCGGCGCAGAGGTCTGGTCACGAATCCCCATAACTGACGTGTTTGCGCCGAGGATGTTTTTACTTCCAGGCCGAGAGCAGCGAACTGAGGTCTGCGAAAATAACCATATCCGTAACCGTCTGCAGACGTTCTGGCACTTGTCGCCTTCTTCTATTACCATGGTTTGCAAGTACATGCATACAGAGGTGTTCCATACAAACGTCCTGCACTTAACGACAACGATTTTTGGCGCTAATCCCCCCCCCCCCCCCCTTGTCACTTGCGACAGCGTACGGTCAATGCTCACGCTGTTGGCGTCACTTCGATTCAGAACGGATTGTTCAACTTCTGAAACGCCGGCAGTGGCCTCCCGGAGGATGTGGTGTGAAGCTCTGCGAAGCTGGGCTTGCAGTCCGCTGTACGTTGCCGTGTGACTCCCCGCTAATTCAGTTGGTCGAGCGGCGTGACGATCCGTCCCAGTTCAAGACAGGAGTGGCGTCGGGAGGGCAACGAGCTTCAGGAACCTTTTTAGCTACCTCTGCCGTGCTGCGTCGGGAGGGTCCTTGGTTGGCCGATCCCGTAGCACTTTTGAACTCACTGAAATGCTCTATTTCTCTCTGTGCCACTGACGCCCATGCCCGACAAAATGTTGTTCATTGTGCCCGAAGCGGTTTCGTATAAATATGGAAACGTGCATTAGTCGTTCTGCTGACCAGTAAGTCCACCTGGCGTGTCTGACATACATCTAGACAATTGAAGTGTTCACGCAGGGTGGTCAGTGCAGAGCTCAGCACGTGGTCCTCGAAGTCACGACAGTACGACACGGAACGACGTCGTTGGTGCGTAATCTGACTTTCGCACAAACCAAAACCCTCACGTTTATGCTCAGCGGATCTTCACAGAAGCATGTAAAATAGTTTTGTTTTTGTTCATCGCATTCACGGATGGTTATTACACGGCACCTACTTTCTCCATCCCCCCAAAAGGCTGATTGCTGGCGATCCAGGCCTGGGTCTTGACAGTTGGATGCTCGACGTGCGTCTTCTTTCGTCGCCAACCCTCATCACGCCAAACCAGCACGACGAACCTGTCCCCTGTACGAGAGGTAACGCGGGCTGTTCGAATGGCGGTTTGAGGAACAAATGTAACATCATCCAGCATTTGTGTCAACTGCGTGTTCGCCCCACGTTCTATTTCCGTCGACATGCGTAAGGACTGCTGTTTCACATCCCTCGCATCCCTAGTATCATGCACAGCCCCGGTGGGTCTCGGCACGCTCATCGGGGTTTGCGACAGTAGGCAGCGCAGGGCCCATACTCAGGGCTCCCATCACCTCGAGGCTTCCCCACTAGCATTCCAGGGAAATACAGTCCTTAGCCTGGACGGTACGTCTCACGGCAGGGGGTGATTTCGCGTGTATGATCAGAAGAAATCGCTTACTGAAAGTCACATGATCTCTTGCCAGAGAGGTCCCTAGAGCGAGTTAAAAGCCCTGAGCGTTCCTAACGTAGACAGGGAGAAGGTACATCTGTTTAGAGAGTGGGACCAGGTCATCGGAATGTGTCCGGGCAAGGAGCAATGTGTCACGGTTTGACAGATCGATGGAACCAAGGGAAGAGCGCAAAAAAACTTGTCTCGGTGGCACTTGCCGTGACGTGTTTGAAGCTTACGAACGGGAATAAACCCCCTTCGATCGGTTTCTTGACATGTACCGCGCTTGATCCGAAGCAATGCGTCTCTATAGGCAGCAGAGGTACGCATTCGGTACGCGTATGCACGTGCCATCGAAATCCAAAGCTGCTGACATTCACTCCCGGTCTTCCTAATTTTAAATAACGTGACCTTAATCACGCTGAATGTGACGCGGAAAATCGTGACTGCGTGATGGAGAGTTGTGTGGATTGTTCTGAAGGGGATGAGGAGGGGGGGATGGACCTTTTAAGTCACACCCTCTCGGACAAGTCAGAGGACAGCGATGAAGGTGGTACAGCCCTTGATGATGAGATTCGGTATAAACAGTGTGTGAGCACGGATCGCTGTACGGCAGTGTAAGTCATTGGGACGAAGAAAGACCGATAAGATCTCTTAGCCAGCAAATCACGGAATTGACCAGACGACACTGCGTAGCTGATAGGCAACGTTGGTGTGTCCGGTAATGGCTACAACATAACGCATCATATGTGAGGTGAGATGGGCGTTCTAGTTATTCAGAACGTTCTAGATGAGCGTTGTCCCGCGCTTGTGAACTGGATGCCGCTGAAACTATGTAATGGCATGTGTGGGTTATGTTGCACCTAACCTGGAGTCTGAAAGTATCAGACAAGGCTTTGATGACTAGGTTATTGAAACCAGAAGTGATTTTCCCCTGCGGTGTGGCTCTCATGACTAGGTTATTGAAACCAGAAGTGATTTTCCCCTGCGGTGTGGCTCTCATGAACTAGGTTATTGAAACCAGAAGTGATTTTCCCCTGCGGTGTGGTGGCGGTTGTGAAGTATTGGTCTAAATAATTGCGACACATAGATAACATGATGAGCCTTGTCTGCTCTTATCTCGATGCGAAATTCATTTCTGAGTGGCAGCAGAGCTGTGACAAATGTTGTAGCCTACACTGGGAAAGATGGAAAGGAAAAATAACAACTTTCCTTAACTTGAAGATACACATATGAATAAGTTTGCAGCTGATCTTTTTCAAGACCGTTATGTGGAAGCGGATTGGCACGGATTAATTCGGTATTGTTTCGGGTAAGACGGACCGGATCGGACTTGATTACAAGATCTGGTGAAAGGCGAACTGGCCGGCGGATTGTATCTGACTAGAGGTACAACTTTTTCAGCCCGCGAACCCGCCGGTTTCTGACCCTCAAGAACCCGCGGGCTTTTGGACTGGGCAATGGGCCGACTTGGCGGGCTTCTGCCTATTTTTTCTATACCTCAAGTTTTTAAAATCACCTCAAACACCATAATTTACTATCACACACAACAGAGTCATGACACATGCATATTATTCGTGTTACAGCTAGAGCACCAGTCACAGATAATCCGTAGCAGCCATGACCACACCAGAAAATCAGGATGCACAGCGAACATCTCACTGAAAACCTCAACAATAGCAGCCCAGATTTGCAAAACTATAGCCTGATTTCATTGAGCAACAGGTAGATGAGCCTTTTGTTATAAATTTCAGCTGCACACTGCGCTTGCTGTTGTTGTGAGTTTTGCGCAATTAACCTTTCTGGTTTCCGCACACAAAAATATATCAAATTGAAATCAATATCACAATTGATAAAATGCATGGGAAAACTGTGAGCTCTCAAGGCTCCAGCTTTACTCACATGTCAATGCAGCCAGTAGTTAATGCCGTATCAATGTGCAAGAGTCGCCTAAGCTGAAAAAAGGGGTGGCATAGAGTTAGGTTATCAAAGTCTCAGGAGACGCAATTCGCAAACCATTAACTACAGGGCACTTACACTACATATGCTTTCATTTTGCTGCGATTGTTAATGTTTTTCAACACATTTGTCATGAAGGATTTTGTTCTTCATGAGATACTCATTTTTTCAATCTTTGTGGACTGGCATGCAGTTCTGGGGTGAAATCATTTTCTCAACAGGTGACGTCAATGAAGCATTCGTTAACACGCTCTCGGGTGGGAGTCAAATTGACTCCCCGAAGGTTTTTCAAAATGGTTTCCGAAAAGCGCGGCGAGGCCGCGCCAAATTTCGCATAGCTGTAGACAATTAAATAGCGAATCGTTTGGTGAAAACAATTAGATGTATCTTGTAAGTCGCTGACCTATGGCAGAATCAAAGTTAGGCCGTGGTTCCAACGAAGCCAATTTCTCAGGAATCGTTTAATCTGATGCAACAAGGAATGTTAGGCGAGGCCACGCATCTCTGAAATGCTTTCTTAGACCAACACAAAAATTGAATGAGCAAATTGCATCGACCTAAGGTCAGGTGTGAAGGTCAGGCCAAGGTCAAAACCAATCCGTTTTATTACTCTAGGGCTTGTTGTATGGGGATAGTTTCTGGTGCTCACTTTCTAATTTATTGATAGCAGGAACCGCATTCTACATCTTCCATGGACTTCTTAGAGGTCATAATAGGTCATTGGCCTGAAATGACCCGGATCAACATTTATTTTTTAGGAGCATACTGCCTAGCGCAATCTTTGTCGTTTATTCAATGCAAAACTCATAGCAATCTTGTATTATTTTGGTCACCAACGACCTTCAAAAGGTTAAACCAAGGTTACTGACCTTAAATGGGGTGCGACATTTTGCTTAAAAATAATATTTCGGTTCTGGGGGCACTTGGGAGACCAACCTGGAATTTGACCTTGCTTGACCTGACATTCACAGGGTATCTTGACCTATATTTGACCCGAAGGTCGTGACCCAGTAACCTCAAACTTCGACCTAGTTGAGATCTCAGGTAGGGTCAATTCCCGAAAGAAACAGTGCCTCAAAATTGTGTTGGTAAATTTTGGTTGTTTTAATGGAAGTTATTTTGCAGATGCCGCAACATTTCATGATTTTAGATGGCGTTGTTAAATGCCAATGATATCACGGACATGGGCAATTCGTGATATTCAATTTGACAATATATTCGTGGACAAAATATTATTGCTTTTCCTTACTTTGAAAGGACCGTATCGCGGAAGTGGTGCAGCGTATTGTTGTGGGCTGAAAAATGGATAGTGGTATGGGAGAGAATGTGGAGTTAGTTCAAAGCTACCATGTGTTTTTTGTGGTGTGGTCACAAGGTGTATGAACCTTAAAGATAGCAAACATCATATCCGGTGGCTGGCTATGGTTGTTCAATGAGAAATATGACATTGTTGCAATTGTGACGCAGTGAATGCTCATTAAGCTGATGCACCTTACAATGAACTAACGCTTCTCATGACTTGAAACATCCACGTCCATGTTTGTTACTTGTTACTTCGTCAGTGCAGAGAGCTCTCAGTTGGGGCATGCAATTTAGAAGAAATGGCCTGTAATTCTATCGAGATGAAGTATAAGGGTGAAACCTTCGGAGCATGTTGGTGAAAGCAAATTTAATTTTCACCCTCATTGTCTTCATTCGTAGTTGAAATATTCTATCACAGTGTTAAAGCTCTATGTTAATGCATTATGAATTCCGACGTGCAGGTACTTGGATTGCTGTTGCTGTTCTCCGAGCAACATCACTGGCGTGGGTCAAAGAATGCTATGCATTAAATGAGATGAGCATGTTTTTATGCAAATTTGAATGCATTAGTCTAAAAATTAAGATAGAATGATGGGCCAGTTGCATTTGCGTGGTTGAGTAGAATGGGGGTGGATGGTGCGGTGAGTGAGTAAAATTAGCAGGCAAATAATGACACAGACCTAACCTACATATGCCAGCAAATTACTTTTTCGGATTTTCACTTTCTTCTCAAAATTTGGGGGTGGGTTGGAACCTAAGCTGGAAGGTGGGGGGGGGGGGGGGGGGGGGGCTAGAGCTCCCTCCCCCACCCGCTTGACTGAATAACAAAATTACGCTACTGGCTAGTTGGCTAGCAGTTCAGAAGAACCTTGTCCGCCAGCCCACCTCCCCCTCCCCCTCTCTTTTCTCGGTAAGGTTTACAGCTATCCCCATGCGGACAGGATGGTGAAAGTGCATTGGTCAAGTTAGAAACGTCATGTCAGTCTCAGCATGCGTAGTGGTTAAAATAAGTGTCCATAATCATTACCACTTTTCGGCGTTACCAAATTGCATCCTGATGAGTATTTGGCCCTCGAACAGTAGATAACTACGAGTAGTAACCGGTAGGTACGGAAGGATTAAAGGGGCATCCCAAACTGAAAAGTCAGCTTTCATGAATTGTTGGAATCCAAATTAGATGCACTTTATTCTGGGCACATGGCGTCAGTCGCTTGCTCGTCAGATTAGATATAAAAATGCTGGACTGGACTACGCCTAGCCAGACAAGCAAAGGGGGATGTCAGGGAGACTTCGGGCCTCCGGGTCGCGCCGGCCTAGAACGGACTGGACACTGAACTGGGTCCGACTGGACCGAGTTTCAGATTTCAAGTGTGGAGCGATGTGGATAAGACCTGACTCGGCGTTCCTTCGGTTATCTTCTGGCGGTCGACGGGTGATTCAATGGCCCCCCGTGTGGTCTCCAATCCGTGCAACATTTTTTTTGTGCGTTCCGGCTCCTTCGGCTTTATGACCCATTAGCCAGCCCCGTCCAATAATCCTCCAAAGATCCCATCCGTTCGTGCTGTTACGTTCCGCAATCCCCCTCCGAACTGCCCTTCTTCGCCCCAGCCGTGGCCTGGCCCGCTCCGTCGCGGTTGGTCCGCTCCGTCGCGGTCTGGTCCGCTCCGCCGCGGTCTGATCCGCTCCGGTGTGGTTTGGTCTGTTTCGTCATATCTTGTTAATGCTCAATCCGTAATTCGATAAAAAAGAAAACACAGGATCGCTGATCCCCCGTTCCTTCTAATCCCAGCTCAGCCGCATCCAGTTTGGTTACCTCTACTTTACCGTCCAGCAATCGTTTTACGTCTGTTTTAGCCCGTGACGCAATTTATCGTTTTCCAAAAACGCATCAAATTGCAAAGTCTAGGATGCTTTCAATATGGAAAAACAGAAGTATATTCGGCGCATTTTGATACCCTCATTTACCTCGCAGCATTATACAAAACGACTTTTAAAGACTAAGTTGGGTCATCAGGGACGTCATCATCAGCTGACAAGGTTGAGCACACCGCCCACTTTGAATAGTTACGGCGCATTCGGGGCAGAATTGAATGACAGCGCAAGATCACAATGGCACGGATGGACGCAGC